GTTGAACTCAATAGTGAATTGAAACCTTTCAAACAGAGTAGTGGCACACAAATCAAGGTCGGACACTGTAGCATGACGTGAATAAAGGTCACAGACTCTTATTGTTATGGCTATAAATAGGGACAATGGCCCCCTACCAGAGGCGAGCTAAATCATTCCTTGTTAACACTACAAAAACACTTCTTAATAAAAATTACTCTCTCTTTTTTTTCCCAATATTCCAGTAATTATCCTATTAAATTTCTTTTAAGTTGATTTATTATTACCACGTTAGTTTTAGTCATCAACAGCATAGGACTAATCATACCTCGGCTTGCTTTATATAATCAAGAATCTGATTCTTCGGGACGTGCCCTTGTGAAGATGTTTTAATGCTTTCGGCCCTAACTCGAGTTCGAACTCGAACAGGCGACTGCATGCACCTTAATGTTACAGAAGCTTGTTTTCTAACCAGTCGACCACGAGCTATAGCTTGTAGTCTTACCAATGCTTTCGAGGCCCTTAAAGCACGCCTTGCCGTCAAACACCAGCAAACAAATCATCTAAAGAAGAGGGGAAATGAAAAGGGAAAGTAGCTGATTCCCAGAAATGACCGAAAATTTGTCTGGATTCGGACCGCGGTACATTCTCGCCTGACCAGCTTGAAATCCTTAGGCGAAGCTTTGGCCAAAGCAGCCACTGCCGCCGTCATTTCACCGTCAATCAAATAAGTATCAGATTCAGATTCTTCTGTATCCGGCGAAGTCCCCCTTCCTTTAACACCCTTCGATACACCCCCCTCCATAATTTCGACTTCCCGCCGGCCGCCTTTACCACCCACCTTCTCTTACATTAATAAAAATAAAAAAATAAAAAAAGAGATCATTGAATGAAATACAGAAATGAGATTATGTACAAATCCTGGAGGATTTTGGCCTACATTGTCGCTTGGTGGGGAATTTTTGGCACCGATCAGTGATTTGATCCACTTCCCAGGATAACCCATTTCACCGAAATAATAGAAAAGTTATGAAAAACAGGAATTCTTGTGAAGAAATGAAGACAATACCATTGGAGAAGGATTGAGAATTCTTGGATCGGGGATTCAATTGAGTTTAAAAATCTTGAAATTTTGAAAAAAAAAGAAAAGAAATATAAAGTTGTTACGGATAGATCCAGAACTTCGGGTTTTTGCTTTGGGTATTCGAATGACGATGTAACGTACACACCATAATTTTGCTTTAACATTTGCCCCGTTCGATACACATTAAACTTTTCATTCTCATTCTTTTACTCATTTTCAACCACACATCTTTCAATAAAATAATAATTTCCATCACATCAATAACTATTCCTTATTTTTCAACCACACATTCTCCATCAATCTATTATTCCAAAATACATTCTTTCAAAATAAAATGATTATTTAGCAAATCATAAAATAAATTAACGTGAATCATACGGACTCTTAAAATCAAAATGATAAAGTAAAAAGGAAAAGTCATACCATAGATAAAATCATGAATTTTCATTTTATTTTACTTTTTCTAATCTCCTAAACTTTAGTATCGAAAAATGTAAAGTTCGGATACAAATGAGAGTAGATATAAGGAATACGTACATCCAATCTAGTTTTTAGTGTGAGAAAAACCAAATGTGAATTACTTTCAAATGTCACAAAGTGTAAGAATTTGTTGGCAATTAGATGTAGTTGAGGTTGACGCTTGACCTCATCCCAACGGTTTGAGAGTCAAATTCAATAGTGTTTGTGTTTCATTATACTCGTTATAGGAATGTGACCTCTCACACGTTGTCCTAGACCGTTAATAAGGGATTAGACTCTTAGGCTCCTTCGCAAAAATATCACATTAATGAAATCGTACGTGACTTAAGATTGCATCTTGAGCCAAAGAGGCCCATTTCATATGGTCAAGGGTCACGTCTCTCCCATTGCCTCAAACTAGAGAGAAGCCTATAGAAGCTATAAAACGGCGTTCACATGTGATTGGCATTTATGTGGCATGTCACCATGAGATAGAGGCGTAAAAGTGATGATACAAATTTAATTACTCGCTTAAGTATAATTTCGGATTGCAGATAAAATATCAGCCAAATTATTATGATTCACTTGTTGAGATTGTACTCTATTAGAATTTCATATAATTCTTTGCGTCGATACCTCGTACGTATATATATATAAGAGCGAAATCAAATTAACGTTTAAATGAAATGTCTTACTTAGAAGAGTTAAGAGTCCAGAACCAAGAAACTCGCTTCAGTAAGTATGTCTCATGCATAATCACAAAATTTCATTAATTCGATTAAACTCCCTGAATGGAATTCAAACCCATCCTGTAAGTTAGAATTCCTATTTCAAAACAAATTATTTATGTAAATACTAAGGCAAAAATTATGGTAGATATGAGATTTTTTTTTATTTTTGGCTTTGAAAAAAACTAATAATAAATAAATAAATTTAAAAAATTGTTAAAACGCTAGAGGAAGGGCTTGAACCTTCGACCTTGTGGTTAACAGCCACACGCTCTAACCAACTGAGCTACTCCAGCTCGTTGGATTTTTTTTAAAGTAAACGTGTAGAGCTAAAAGTAGAGAAAATATGACAATATTTTGCATTTTAGCCCATCCCATCAAGACACGTGTCAACAATACGTGACTATAAATCAAATATTTGTAATTAGTTGTCATGATCAAGTCTGTCTCTCAATGTTCAGTAGAGTTAAATTCATTCAACCACTCTCAAAATATCTTTCAAAGATTGACCAAATGGGTAGCTTCTTAAATCTCGAGATGTGACTAACGATATACATCGAGAATAATATCAGCACTCGTAAAAATCCGATTATTTACCCAATTTTTTTACATTACTTCAAAATAAAATTAATTTAATAGAAGTTGATTATAACACGATGATAATCAATTTCCTCAAAATCAGTTTTGTCTCATCCAACACGAATGATCAATGGTTGACCTCCACGGTCAACATTATTACAAGAGTGCTAATCACGTCCTCAACCAGCACATGACCACTTAGGTGTAGAAACGTGCCATGACTTTTCTTTTAGTATTTTATAATTGTGGAAAATATACACACGAACAGGTACTAAACCTCCTCTAGAAATGACCTCCAATCTCATTAGTAGAGAGAAAAAAAAAAGAATTAAAATAATCTAATTTAGAATTCCGGTATAAAAGATAAAAGTTAAAATTACGAAAATATGGAAAAAAAAAATAAAAAATCAGATTTCAAAGACAAATTTCTAGTTGTAGTTGATATCAGCCCCTGTTTGGTGCACATTTTGATTATAAGAATGCATTTTTATCGTTGATGTGATGGGGAATATGTGGTTAAAAAAGAAATAAAAGTTATTGATATGATGGAAAATATTATTTTATTGAAAAATATGTGGTTGAAAATGAGTAGAAGAATTAGAATGAAAAAAATAATATGGCTCAAACGAATATGACTAGTGAAGAAAATCAACCAAATATTAATTATTCATCGAAACGATTTACTCAAAGTCAGTTAGACATCGTGTAAGACACTCTTTAGGACAAAATTGGTAAGAAAAAAAAGTAGCTGTCCGTGCAAGGAATAAAACAAAGACTTTAAAATACAGTGCTTTTCTCTCTCTCTCTCTCTCACTTTTTTTTTTTGATAATTTTCCAAGCAACTTCGTCGATTGCCCTAGAGGCTAAAACCTCCCTCTTTGGGAGGTGGAGTTTTGCTGATTCAACCCTCAAATGTCATACCTGAGGCAAATTTTATTTAGGGGTGTGTCATATGAAAAGATAAAATAACATTTTCAAGGTTTATAGTTAAGAAAAATGGCCAAATGTTTGTCGTTCGAAACCACCTTTCCAAAGTCAATTAGGTATCTCATGTGACACTTTTTTAGACAAAAATAACACGTAAGGAAGAAAACAATAAAACGAAAAAAAATCGGTTGAGAGAGAAATTCTACATATTAAAATATTAATCTACGTATAAGAGTTTGAGATACTTCTTTTGACAATATTCTTCGAGTCCAAATGCGATTCACATTCTTTTAGACACACACTAAAGCAAACGACAACGATGAAATGCCAAGAAATTTGTTGAAGTATAATGTTGAACAAACATGGATAAAAAAAACAGACTGATGTCGCAGCCCATGTTTGAATTTTTTATGATCTTTTTCTCATTCTCCAATGAAAAATTATCGAGTGTAGTTTAGAAATGCTTTATTGTCATTAAGCCTGGCGATGTAGCATGCTTCTTTGTTGAAAGCATGGAAATGTAGTGTAATATAAAATAATGACACAAAAAACCTTTGGAATGATTTAGAGTTGGGAGTAAATAGACAATAATGTCCCCATGGACTACCATCTTAACAAGTTGACCATAGACCTATTTTTGTACCAAAACCAGTGTGGTCCTGATCTATGCACGTTAATATCATGCCACGACATGAACAGGAGGAAGCAATCAATCACGTCTGCAAGTAGTTGCAATTAATTCATAGGTTTGGACCAATTCTACAACGCAGGAAAAATGGTTAATTGATTGACATATGGATATTTACGCGTTATTCTTTTTTTTTTTTGATACTCAGGTGTCCCAATTTTGTCAGACTAAATCTTGGACCTCCATGACCCTTGCCCCTAGAACCTTGGAGGAGGTAAATCGCGAAATATGCCTCAACTGGATATTCACATCGTGTCATGTTAAAAATGTAAATTTCTTTTAACAAAAAAAAAAAAAAACACAAGGAATTCAATAAATTTTCTAAATAACACTTATAATTTCATTTCCTTTTGAAATCTCATTTATTTGAAGCCTCTGGCCGGTTTATATATGTAATGATTGTTGTAATTTCATTTATCGAATCATTCTCCACCAAAATTTCGATTTATTCTCAAAAAGATGGAGAAATATATTAATTGTTCTGTTTCATTGACTAAATATTCCAACATTTGTCAATATATTAAGTTGGAACATAATTCTGGTCACATTAAATGTCATCGAGCTCTTCCCAGAATGTGATTTTAGCAAGAGTAATGCTATAAAACCTCACTGAGGTTACAACTCAAATGTAGATGACCTTAATGAGACATTAAATAATAGAGGAATTTAAATAAATAAAAGAAAATGACTTTATTTTAATTATGTTTATTTTCATTTTTAAATCCCTGTTTGATGGGGGTTAAAATCAGATTTTTAGTAAATTTTGATAAAAATTTATGAAATGTACAGTTGAAAAGTTGTGAATCTTATGAAACATGTAATTAAAATTAATTATTAACTTTAATCAAAATTTGTATTTTATTTTTCACCAAACGGGCGCTAAATCTAAAACTGTAATTTTATTATTTCAAATGAAAATTCAAGCACGGTGGAGTAGTATGGACAAAATGGCCAAGGTTTAGAGGCATAAAGGATTTTTGTATGGGACCCTCTGTCGGAAAATTCAACTTCCAATCATCTTCGTTGTTTGATGATATGCCACGTAAGCTATAGTGGGTCCCCAGTGGCATTCGCCCTGCTCTTATTTCTTCTTCAAAAGTATAAGCAGTAAAAAGCAGTGCATTTTCCACGTCAGAAATTGCTACATAGTTCGAGGTATCAATTTTATTTAATTTAAACTCTCTAAATTCTCTCTCTCAAAAAAAAAAAGCTCTTTCGCATTCTTTTTAATCTTATAATATGTAAAATAAAAAAAAAATATTTAATCGATAATATTATTTAAAGAATAACGTAACTGATCGGTGCACTTGAAAATTGCGTGAATCGAAACTTGCACAATC